ACTGGATAATCATCACGTAAAACTGGATAATCATCACGTAAAGACTGGATAATCCACGTAAAAACTGGATAATCATCACGTAAAGACTGGATAATCGTCAGGTAAAACTGGATAATCATCACATAAAACTGGATAATCATCACGTAAAGACTGGATAATCATCACGTAAAACTGGATAATCGTCAGGTAAAACTGGATAATCATCACATAAAACTGGATAACCATCACGTAGAACTGGATAATCATCACGTAAAGACAGGATAATCGTCAGGTAAAACTGGATAATCATCACGTAAAGACTGGATAATCCACGTAAAGACTGTATAATCATCACGTAAAGACTGGATAATCGTCAGGTAAAACTGGATAATCACATAAAACTGGATAATCATCACGTAAAAACTGGATAATCATCACGTAAAACTGGATATTCATCACGTAAAACTGGATAATCAGCACGTAAAGACTGGATAACCGTCAGGTAAAACTGGATAATCATCACATAAAACTGGATAATAACATTAAATCTGGATAATCATCACATTAAGACTGGATAATCGTCACGTAAGTTTTTACGTGGATTATCCAGTCGTTACGTGATGATTATCCAGTTTTACGTGATAATTATTCAGTCTTTACGTGATGATTATCCACTTTTATGTGATGATTATCCAGTTTTACCTGACGATTATCCAGTCTTTACGTGATGATTATCAAGTTTTTATGTGGATTATCCAGTCTTTACGTGATGATTATGCAGTCTTACGTCATGGTTATCCAGTCTTTACGTGACGATTATCCAGTCTTTACGTGATGATTAACCAGTTTTACGTGATGATCTTACGTTGCTACTAATCTTGAAGGACTGAATATCAACTACGTAAACGGAATTCATTTTTCGAAGGATGTTTAATTGCAATCGTCACATAAAACTTGATAATCACATAAAAAAGGATCACAAAAAGGGTATTTAAGGGTATAATCCGCGAGTACATATTCATTATACAGCTGCTACTCAAAGAGTAAATATGTATACGTGCAACATTTGCTCCAAGAGATTGCATATAGAAGTGGACTTAGTCGCCACGCTGACAAGCATAAATCTATCACATTTCCCTGCGACACATGTGAAAAGAAATTTACAAGGGATAAGTTACTGAATT